TGAGTCTTCCTCCATATCCGTTTTGGCCAATGCTGTTGCACAATGGGACAGAGATCCTAGCAAACAGAGCTAGTTTCCCCCAGTTGATCACAGTCAACTCAGGGTTTTGTCCTGAGGTCTTCAGCCATCATTCCCGGGCAGCCTGTAAGCTCTTGAGTTGTTCAATATACGTTATTACTACAAATGACAGCAGCATTTTTGGCTCTCTGACTTAATAAAACTCACATGAAGTTTTCTTTCCATTTGAGACAGCACAGCACCCTCTTCTGTACTAGGTAGCCTGGTGGCTTGTTGTTATTTCAAAACTACGCTGTGTCCTGAAGCTGTGCAAGGTCAAGAGAACAGTCTCCGTGCACCACCTCACAACAGCGAGATGCAAATGCACTCTGGCACGTGAACTGGTCCTTGCAAGGATCTCACAAAAGGCCTAAAGAGCACCAGGGAGGAGACAGGGGCAGAAATAGCACAGGCTTGGTCTTTGGCCCTGCTCTTGGCATGACTTGGTGTGCTTATACAGATGGACTGCTCCACAGGCCAAGCCAGACATGACATGATGCTCCTGGTTTATTTCCCTTGTGCACGCTGCTCTGTGAATTGGTGCCCTAGGGTCAGGCTGTGACTTACCCCCAGGTGCAGCTGGGGAAGTGACACTGGTCTCCTCTTGTGAGGGTAGATAGATGTGCAGCCACAGAGAGCTAGCTGTGGCCTGTCCCCATCCCAGTCAGCCACAAAACAATGGCACCATTTGTGTGGAGTACTGACAAGCCCTGAGCACCCCATGCTCAAGCCCAAGCTCTAAACACTGCCATCTAAAGACAACCAAAAAGCCCAGGATGAGCTTATCCCTTTCCTGGAAGAACCATGGTCTCTGAGGAAGGAACATTTCTCATGGGAACATCACCTATTTCTCTATGAGGGCTAACAGTCTTGGGGAAATCATGTGATGGACATCCCCCTTCAAGAGAGAATCAGTTCCGAAGAAACTGATCACTTCCTTCCTTCACTTTACCAAGAAGCAGGTTTGGGCTTAGGACAATGTGCCTTCCCACTGTATATTTTGGAGTCTCTGTCGGAGGTTCTCTGGGCTGACATCTTCACCTGGCTGTACTTGGTGGAAGATTCTTTGCAGGTTAAGGCTGGACATAACAAGAAGGAACTACTTCCTGAAGAAAGAGCTTGCAATAACTTCCTCAAATTACCACACATCTAGTGCATACTTTTGCAGTATCTGCAAAAGATGTGACCTGAAGGAGCCACTTTGCTTCCCTCCATTGCATCAGCTTCAAGTAGCACTTGGATTACAATTGTATTTTTCAAGCCCCATTCAATTCCAGTGCTGAGCACAGCCCTGTCCTGCTTGGAACTCACTGAATTTACATTTGGTCTGCTGATCCAGACCAAATGGTGGTCCTGCCCAGCCTTGTGAAATGTGCTGCCACTATCACAGGCAATGCTGTGGCCCTAAATGTTAATGAATAGGTCACAACAGCAGCAGCAGTAACGTGTTTCAGATCCAGTTTTCCTTAGTCTTAATAGTTTTGTACTGTTCAGGAGTGTAACATTTTTTAAACGGGTCATACCAGCAGCAGTGACATCTCCACTAAGGGCCATGGAAGTTTTACTTTCTGGCTTCATTTGTGTTTGCATTAGCAGGCACCTTCTTGCAGAGTGTTCAGAACTGGGATCTAATTTATCTTCTGAACAGTTGCTGTAGCATGGCTCCATCAGCAGCTTTGTAACCCACACTGCCATGGCAAAGCTTGCATTTTGTTTGACTAGTCACTGCTCTCCAAACACCCTCATGCTGAAGGGTGTGGGATGGAGTCAGAGATCTGACACTCTGTGCTTGAGCTCAGCCTCTACTCAAGTTGGTGCATGCATGCCCCCACAGTGGGTGTTAGACGCCTGAGGACCAGAAGGGGAGAAAGGGTCTCAAGACCCTTGTCTGTAGGAATGGAGGTGGACGCAATATGGTGGGGGAACATTTCCAGGTGTTGAAGATGGGTCAGGACTGGGCATTTGGGATATTTCGGTTGGGAATTGCTGCTGAAAATTCAGCCTGCAGCTTAATATCTACAGGTGGAGGGTCCTTTGCTAGGGAAGGTCCTCTTTGGATCAGCGGAGGAGAACTTCAAACAAACACAGGGAAATGCAATCTAAACCTGTACTTTATCGGGATACCACTGATGAAAGCAAAGAGGTCATTCTGTTTTGAGAACACCTTGTGTCCAGTTAGCTTGGTAGAGTGACTAGAGGGTTCAAGCGACACTAGGCACTGCTGCTATTTGGGAAGCCTGCAAGACGGAGACAAGCAGGAGCTCTCAGAAACAAGTGGCATATTGCATGCTGAAGAGGTGGGGGAGGAACAACTGTCACTGCTGTCAGGTCAGCAGCCTGATTTCCACCCATGGGTGCACTTTTAGATGCCTGTAAGCAGGAGTGTAGAGGCATTTGTCTAAGTGCAAACATGAACATGTTCATGTCTGGATGTGTGCATGTGCACATGTGTACCAGGAATGACCTTTCCCATTTAAAAATGTCAGAAGAAACTATATTTAACTTAAAAAGAAAATATGGGGAGGAGATGAAAGTAGCTAACAAAATCTGCAACTCCAGTAAGCCAAGAATTTTACCTAGTTGTGCTTTCTCCTGCTGCAGTTGTAGATGCAAGGAACAAAACCTCTGTGCATGGCAAGCCAACAGCATTCCTCAATCTGCATGGAAATGTCTTCTTCCATTCAGTGGACAAGGTCTTGGGCTGGCTAGCACCAGCCACTTATTTTCCCACTGCCAGCAACCATTTTGCAAGCCACAACTGCAGTCATTTTCAACCCCTGAGAACCACTCACCATCTCCTTTGGTGGCTGGGCAAAGCGTGGCCACTAATCCAGGCTACAGCTGAGGAGCTTGTCTTCAGCACAGCTCATACGAGAGGACAAGGCTCCCTGGGAGCCCGCAGTCAGACTCTCAGATCCTGAGGGGACTCAGCTGGCTCTCTTGGGGGTGTCTGTGCAGCAGCTGGTGTCCCCAGTCCCTCCCAGGGCAGGGATAATCAGCAGGGCAGGATGCCAGAGAAAGGGAGAAGCTGCAGCCTTGCCTGCCCCGTGGGTGCTGCTCAGGCCTGGCTGTGCATGGCCGGTTTTACACTCAGGCTGTGTGACACAGGTGCACTGTGAGTGTGCAATGGACACTAGAGCCAGGGAAAGAAAGTGGTACCTTCAGATGTGCTCTCCTCTGGGTTGCACTGGCAATATCGCCGGGAGAAATGAATCAGCACCCGCTCCCGCTCTTGTGTCTCTCCCATCAGCGGGAATGCTTTCAAGAATGTCCTGCAAAGAGAAAGTGATACTTAAAGATGCCATGGATGAATCTTCTAGGCAGCATCCATGCTAAGGAGGGAGACAGAAAAGGGTTCCTCAGAGCAACTAGGAAGTCCTGTGTCCTTCCCCCAGCCTGCGCACCCCTGGGCCCCTGCAGGTGCAATGCAAAAGGTGTCTACGGAGCCAGCTCTGAGCTGCGTAGGGAAACATGCTGCAAACTGAGATGGGACCCACCTCTGGCTTGATGGCACTAGGTTGGGTTGTCCATCCCAAAGGAAGAAGTTGCTCCCACTTGCTCTGATTTTGTACAGGATGGGATTCCTGGGAAAGCTGCTCTCCACCATGGGGAAGCAGGCTGTGGGCCCTCCTGTTGAAGCCCACTTTTGGTGGCAGTACCCTGTGCCAAATGTGACACCAGAGCAAAGCTTAAATGACAACCTGGAGCTCCCCCCCAGTCCTATCACACGGACAGCCTCCACGGCGTCAGGAAGCCTGGAGGAGAAACCCACCGCGCTGCTCCGCTCTCTCCAGCCCAGGCCCTACACGGCAGTGCCAGAGACCAGCTCACCTGAGTGCTTTGTCAAGGGTCAGGCCAGTGAAGTCAAAGAAGCTGAGATACTCCTCTGCTACCAACTTGCTAAATTCGTTACTGTAATTAAAGAGGGAGTAGTCAGCCCTTTCATCAGAGAAGGAGACACTGTCTACAAGAGGAACAGCAGACTGCTACCTCCTGGCCAGCCCAAACCCCCAGAAAGACACTGCAGACATGATCCCAGACCCAGGGGTACTTTCTCCTAGCTTGAAGTGCTACTTCCAAAGGGCTCTAACATGCCCATAGCTTAGCACTGCCGCTGCTAGCCCTAGATGCCTGAGAATGAGAGGTATGGGCTGCCATTGCCCTTCTCTGCTGTGCTGCTGGCCAGGCAAAGCCTCCTCCTAAACCAGCCAGGAGGAGGAGGCCATAAGGATGTCCTGTGCTCATCAGGCACCTTCTCTCTTACCTAGTCCTCTCCCATTGCTGGAATTGGTCCCCTCCTCCTTACTGCAATATTCCTGCTCTCCACTCCATGTTGGCTCTCATCCTACCCTCTCACCACAACACCTTGCTTGCATGTCAAATGGATGTCCCTGGGAAATGGACCAAGAGAGCTCAGCTTGAGATTCTGGCCCTGCTCATCCCTGAATGCTTTTCCAGAAACCATTCCTGGGCCACATGTTTGAAGGATTCTTGGAGATGTGTTGCCTTTAAAGCCAGAATGGGTGCTGCTAAGTTCTTCTATCTACACAACTCAGGTAGCAGAAGTGCAAGAATAATCAATGAATCCTGGCAAGAAATGGGAGATGATCTCGACATGCGCTCAGCCTTTGCCATACACAGTTCCTCTTCCTTCTCTCCACAAAATGAAAACCATATTTCTAAGTGTTGCACATCCAGTTTCACCCCGGGACATGGTACAGGCATAATTCATTGCTTTTCCTCCAGCATTGTTTCATCTTCTGCTGTGAGGTGGACGCTGTAAAGCCTCTGGCATGGATGCTGTTATGGATGCTGCATGACACACATGATCAGGCAGAGCAAAGTGACAGCTTCACGGCAGAGGTCCAGGCTAAGTTTTGAGAGGCAGGACATAAGTATTGGTGCTGGAGTTTGTGCAGGAGACTGTTTCAAAGATATATGAAGCCACAAGGCCTGACACTCATAAAACAATCTTATCATTTGGGATTGTGAGCTCTGGGAAAGAACATGTGCTCATAGGCCCCTGGGTTAGTCTGTCTGAAGCAGTGCAACAAGGATTGGTGTGCAGATTCCTGACAGCTTCCCAGGGACACTTCTCCTGGAACTTCACAGCAAGGTAATCGGAGATGCAGAAGATGACCACACGTTTGTGAAAGAAGATGTCACCACATCTTCATGCCTTCGCCAAAGAATGAGCAGAACCAAGCAAGCCCCAGGCCTCCTCTGGGATCCTCTTGTCTCTAAGTCTACAGAAGACCTCATGCATTGGCGGTTCCATTGCTGGCAACTAGCCAGTGCTCTCCCTTCCACAGGTCACGTCCCACCTCAGTCTTGCAGTTGAGGTCTCCCAGAAGAAAAGGTCTGATTCCTTATGTTTGGGTACCTACTTACCAGGTCTCCTGGGAACCTGCTTGGGCACTCTCGGCACTGGGCACACAGCAACAACTGCCATATACTGCAGCAATCAACAGGGGAGAACAGTGCCTGACTGCCCCCACTTAACTCAAGCTGGCCTTGAAGGACCGGCCTTGCCCAAGGCTCCCTAAAGCCAAAAGACTTGGCATGTCTATAGCCCAGCACAGAGCTTGGGTGGGCTGAATTGCTCTTGAGATGTCTCCATGGCCTACACTGGGAGCTACATGCTAATTTACTTTGCTAACTAGATCTATAGTCAGGCAGGATGAAGGTGGGTGGGAGCTCCCCTTCACCCCACTCTCCCATCAGGGCAGTCCAGGAAGGCAGGCAGGCCTTGCTGCCTGTCCTTCAGCTCACTGGGTCTTTCTGAAGGCCAGGAGTCCATAGGGAATTTGTGACCCTCAGGACAAGTGGTCTGTGCCAGCTGCTGTGGTGCCAACAGTCCTCAGCCTGGGTGCCCATCACACCTTCCTGTGTGTCTCACTTGGTTCCTTTCTGCTTGGAAAAGCTCCAGGCAGGGACTGACAGCTCTGCCAGGACACTTGAAGGCAGCCAGCCCCCAGGAAGCAACAAACTCCTATGTCTAGTCAAGGGCTCAGTGACATTGATGGGACCCTTCTCGCTGAGCTCCAGAGCCAGTTAACAAGCCCCAGGCATGCCTGGGTCACAGAGCTCCAACACTGGCCAGGGCAAGACCATGGCCTACACAAAGGTGAGATTAGGTTCTTGCTCTGGTTTCCTCATTCAAGAATTGGCCTTCTCTCTCTCTGTGACGTTCTCAGCCCCTCTTGCAGGAACGGGTGACACTTCCACCATGCAGCTCACACCCAACAGAGACATTCCCACAAGAACAGCAAGGTGTTTCCCATGGGGACATGTCCGGGATCCTGTGGCTGGTGGCCCTG